ATGAATTTGCGCCCCAATAGATAAGTGCTATTTTTTGACAGTTGACGTAATAGCACATAACTTACGAACATATGTTGAAGCATTCAGAATTTTAGGACAAAATTTCTTACTGTAATAACAAATGGGATGGGCATGTTAAATGAGGGACAACTCCCATGCCACACCTTGAGGCGTTGGTTTCCAAGACAAATTCTACGTCGAAGTTAGGCAAGGCTAGGATTGAGGCCTTTGTCATGGTCTGTTTTAGAGTCTCAAATGCATGTTGTGCTTGTGAGTTCCAATCAAAATCATCCTTCTTGAGAAGGTCAGTCAATGGTGCGGCAATATTAGCATAGTGGCGCACAAACTTCTTATAAAAACCTGTAAGGCCAGAGAACCCATGTAGGTGTTTCACAGTTATTGGGTGATAAATGTTTTATATACTTGATCCTACATTGTAATTCATGAATGATAATTGAGAGTTTTAAGCTATTCATTGAGAGAATTTACTATTATTAATTTCATTTTATTTATATTTCAGAAAAAAGGATCAAGGAATGAAAACTTTAAAGATATTGGGAATTGAAGAAAGAAAGGAACCAGGGATATACACGCCCGTGTATATAAGTGTGTATCTCACTAGATGCAAAACCCAAGCACACAATCAGCCAGAGATATACACTGGAAAGTACACGCTCGTGTATATGAGCGTGTATATCACTGGTGTCGACAATTGAAATACATCATCTGAACTAGAGATGTACACGACCAAAGTACATAGGCGTGTACATGAGCGTGTACTTCCTAGAAAAAGTGTGAAGACCAATTATCAGAGACCAGAGATGTACACGACCAAAGTACATGGCCGTTTACATGAGAGTGTACTTTTCAGAAAGGCTTTAAAGGACGTCTATTAGAAAACAGAGATGTATACGGCCAAAGTACATGGCCGTGTACTTTCACGTACGTCAGAATTTAAACTTCTGCGAGAAAATAAGCCCTAGGACGATTCCTATAAAAGGGAAACTTGACACAGAATTAAGGGACACTGTTTTGAGGAGAAAAAAGACTCAGAGACGGCTGGAGGATGGGATCAAGCACTTTTATTCATCTCTTTTGTAATTTTAGTTTGAAGATGTTTAGATTCTAATTTTTCTTTGAGTATCTAGTCGTAATAAATCCTAATTGACCAAATTTTTTGGAATTCTTCTAATGCTATTTCATGTTCTTTTCTCTTGGGTTTAATTGAGTAGTATCAATTGTCTTGCATCTTGTTTTCTTGTTTGAATTTGAGTAAAATTTCTGCATAAAATTAATATTGCTCAATTAAAAGGACTTAAATGTATTTCTAGAGATAGAAAGACGTAAGTTTTCTGTATTAGGATTAACTCTAATTATGAAATTTATAATGAACTTAATGCAACTTAGGGGTATTAATTAAGGAAGAGATTCCGATTGATCAACCGAGGGTTAGGAATTATTATCCTTGAGAAAAGTATTGATTTAATTCAAAATTTCCTGCAGCGATAAGGGTTTGGAACTAAGTAGTTGAAGAAAAATTTTAGTTATGTGGACACTTAGGAGGATTTATAGTCCAGATACTCGCCTATTTTCCTTGAATACCTTTAGTCATACTTTTCTATAATTTATTTTCATAAGAAATCTGTTCCTTTTAATTTATTATTCTTCTATTTTTAGCAATTTTATCAACAAAATCTATGTCTCATATTCAGTAACAGTTGCGTAATTAAGGAAGTAATTCTTAATAATAGTTCTTGTGGATACGACACTTGGTATTCTATTTTTTCATAATATTACTCTGACAACAGGTACACTTGCCCAATAATCGATTTTTATACACCAAGTTTTTGGCGTCGTTGCCGGGGATTGTTTAATTAGGATTCCCTTGATTACGTATTTACTAATTTTCTTTATTTCTTTAGTCTTGAATTAAATTTTCTATTTGCTTTCATTCTTTTTAGGAGCTGATTTTTCTAGTGTATGACCAGAACCCGTTCTGCTGCACTGTTTGAAGAACTACTTGAATTTGACCCAGAGATTGAAAGAACTTTGTGAAAAATTCGGAAGGAGAGGCGACTGCTAGTACAGAGGGAAAACGGACAAACCCACATGGAAGGAATGACAAACAACGAAGATTAACCAAGGACTATGTCTGATTATGCTCGTCCATAATTAACAGGAACAGAGTCTAGCATTGTCCGTCTAGATGTGCAGGGAAATTTTGAAATAAAGCCTAATGTTATTTAGATGGTTCAGCAGTTTGTCCAATTTGATGGGTTGCAAGACGGAGACCCCAATGCTCACATTGCGAACTTTCTGGAGATCTGTGATACTTCAAGATAAATGGAGCTACCAATGTTGCAATCCGCTTGAGGCTGTTTCCATTTTCTTTCAGGAGCAGAGCAAAACAGTGGTTGAACTCTCTCCCACGAAGATCTAACACTTCATGGGAGGCCATGGCAGAAAAATTCTTAGCAAAGTATTTCCCTCCCGCAAAGACCGCTAAGATGAGGAATGATATCTCTTCCTTTTACCAATTGGAGTCAGAGACTTGATATGATACATGGGAGAGGTTTAAGGAGTTGCTACGAAAGTGCCTACATCATAGGATTCCTGACTATCTTCAAGTGCAAACCTTCTACAATGGTTTAAACCTAGCCACAACACAAATGATAGATGCTGCAGCTGGGGGCACTTTGAACAGTAAGACACCAAGGGTTGCACAAGAACTATTTGAAGAAATGGCAATAACAGTTATCAATGGAGCTCCACTCGATCCAAACCTACAAAATTTATGGGGATCTATAGTCTTGATGCAGTGACATCCTTGGCAATGCAAGTTGAAGCCTTAGGGAAGAAGATTGATGGTTTATCTATTAACCATCCAGTTGCTCCGGTGATGAGATGTGATATTTGTGGAGGAGGCCACCCTAATCATGAGTGTCGAGCTACTCAGGAAGAACATGCCAATGTGATAGGAAACAAACCACCGTACCAAAATTATAACTGCATGAATAATTCGGGCTGGAGGAACTATGCAAACCCACCATGGAGCAACAACCAACAGCCAACGCGGAACAACACACCCTCAGGATATCAACAAGCCCCACATCAAGCACCACCCCTAGCTGAAAAAGAAGTCAAACCTTAAGGAGTTAATGACCAAATTCATTCAAACTTCAGAATCTTGTTTTGGTGTGTAAAAATTGAATTACTGGGCAAGTGTACCCGTTGTCGAAGTAATATTATTAAAATTAAAATTAAAGTACCAAGTGTCGTATTCACAGGGACTGTTATGAAGAAACTTTTCCTTAATTGCGTAATTGTTAATAAATATGAGAAATAAACCTTGTTGATGAAATTGCTAAAAGTAAAAGAATAATAAATTAAAAGGAACAGATATTCTAGTGAAAATAAATTATAAAAAATTATGACTAAAGGTATTCAATGTAAAAAAGCAAGTATCTAGACTGTAAATCCCCCTAAGTGTCCAAATAACTGAAATTCTTCTTCAACTACTTAGTTCCAAACCCTTATCGCTGCAGGAAATTCCAAATTAAATCAATACCTTTCTCAAGGATAATGATTCCTAACCCTCAGTTGATTAATCGGAATCTCTTCCTTAATTAATACCCCTAGGTTGCATTAAATTCATTATGAATTCCATAATTAGGGTTAATCCTAATACAGAAAACTCACGTCTTTCTATCTCTAGAAATACATTCAAGTCTTTTTAATTGAGCAATGTTAATTTCATGCAGGAATTTTACTCAAATTCAAACAAGAAAACAAGATAGAGAAAATTGATACTACTCAATTAAACCCAAGAAAAAAGAACATGAAATAGCATTAGAAGAATTCCAGAAAATTTAGTCAATTAAGATTCATTACGTCTAGATACTCAAAAGAAAGTTAGAACCTAAACATCTTGAAATTAAAATTACAAAAGAGATGAAATAAAATGCTTAATCCCATCCTCTTGCCGTCTATGAGTCTTTCGTCTCCAAAAACCGCCTCTCTTTAGGTTTGAGTTTAGTTCTCCTTTTATAGAAATTATCCTAGGGTTAATTTTCTCGCAAAAGTTAAATTTCTGACGCGCTTAAAAGTACACGCCCAAGTACACGGCCATGTACTTGGCCGTGTACATCTCTGTTTTCTAATAGACGCCTTTCAAAGCTTTCCATAAAAGTACACGCTCATGTACACGGCCATGTATCTGGCCGTGTACATCTCTAGTCTTGATGATACACTTCAATTGACGCGACCAATAAGATACACGCTCATATATACAGGCATGTACTTGCCCGTATATATCTCTGGTTTCTTTTTCTTCAATTCTCGACATCTTTAAGGCTTTCACTTCTTGATCCTTTTTCCTGAAATATGAATAAAATGAAATTAATAATAGAAAATTTTCTCAATGAATAGCTTAAAACTCTCAATTATCATTCATGAATTACAATGTAGGATCAAGTATAGAAAGCATTTATCATGTTTGCTATCCACCGAGACAGCACTAAGGAATCAACAAGCCTCAATCCATAACCTAGAAAATTAGTTAGGTCAAATTTTTAGACTCCTCTCAGAAAGACCCCAAGGAAGCCTACCTAGTAATACTGAGACAAATCTTAAGGGCCAGGTCAAGGCAGTAACATTAAGGAGTGACAAAACATTACAAGAAAAGGAGAAGCAAAAAGCAGAAAAAACTGCAGTTGAAGAGGAGAATAAAGGTCAAGAGGAGACTGTGGAAAAACTCCCTGCGGTGAAAGAATTCATACCTCCACTCCCCTACCCAGCTAGATTGAAGAAGGACAAGAACGATGAACAATTTGATAAATTTCTTTCCTTATTTCGTCAACTTCATATTAATTTACCGTTTGTTGATGCTTTGGCACAGATGACCAAAACGCCAAATTTCTGAAGGATCTACTATCCAACAAGAAGAAGCTGAAGGAGTTGTAACTCTGAATGAAGAATGCTTGACAATCTTGCAAAATAAGATGTCCAAAAAATTAAAGGATCCAGGGAGTTTTACTCTTCCTTGTCTCATTGGTAGATTGATAGTTGATAGGGCTTTAGCTGATTTAGGTGCTAGCATTAATTTGATGCCATATTATGTTTTTAAGAAATTAGGTTTGGGAGAATCTAGGCCAACTAGAATGAGTATTCAACTAGCTGATAGGCCAATTAAATATCCTAGGGGTATCATTGAGGATGTGCTTGTGAAAGTGGACAAATTTATTTTTCATGTTGATTTTGTGATTCTTGATATGGATGAGGACACTGAAGTCTCCTTAATCTTAGGTCATCCATTTTTAGCTACTGCAAAAGCCATAATTGATGTGAGTGATGGGAAGTTAATTTTGAGAGTTGGAGATGAAAAAGTTACTTTCAAAATTTCTGAAGTAATGAAAAAGTCCTTAAAACAAGATGATTCTTGTTTCTTCCTTAATGTAATTGATGACTTTGTTTCTGACTGTGCACAGGAGTTCTTGATGTCAGATCCATTGGAAAGAAGCTTAGTGTATGAAGAAGGAACATATGATATGGAGCTGCTAACTCAAGAACAATTGTGTCATCTAGAAGCCACTAAGCCATTATTGAGAAAGAGGAACTTTGAAGTTCTGGAACAGAATTTAGAGAAGCAGCCCAGCCCATCCACTGATAAATCACCAGATGTAAAATTGAAAGTTCTACCTGAACATCTGAAGTATGCTTTCTTGGAAGATGGTTGCAAGTTACCTGTCATCATTGCTTCAAAGCTAACACAAGAACAAAAAGGCCAGCAACTGAATGTAGTTCGGGAACACAAGAAAGCAATAGCCTGGAAGATCTCTGACATAAGGGGGATTAATCTTTCCTTTTGCACTCACAAGATCTTGATGGAGTCTGATATTAAAGCTATCGTGCAACCATAAAGAAGGCTAAACCCAAACATGAAGGAAATGGTGAAGGCTGAAGTGATTAAGCTACTAGATGCTGGAATGATCTATCCCATCTCAAACAGTCCTTGGGTGAGCCTAGTGCAAGTCGTTTCAAAGAAGGGAGGGATGATTGTGGTTCCCAATGAGAAGAATGAGTTGGTCCCTACTAGAACTGTCACTGAATGGAGGGTTTGTATTGATTACCAAAAACTAAATGATGCGACAAGGAAAGACCACTTCCCTCTCCCATTCATTGACCAAATGCCGGAGCATCTTTCGGGCCACATGTTTTACTGTTTCCTGGACGACCTCTCAGGATACTTTCAAATTCCAATAGCATCGGAAGACCAAGAGAAAACTACCTTCACATGCCCATATAGAACATTTGCTTATCGTCAGATGCCGTTCGGATTATGCAATGCACCGACAACTTTTCAACGGTGTATGATGGCTATATTCAATGAGATGGTAGAGGATATAATGGAGGTATTCATGGACGACTTCTCAGTCTTTGGTGATTTGTTCTCGCATTGCCTAAAGAATTTGTCAAGAGTACTTTAAAGATGTGAAGAAACTAATTTGGTGCTTAAATGGGAGAAGTGTCATTTTATGGTACAAGAAGGCATTTTACTTGGTCATAAAATTTCCTGTAAGGGAATTGAGGTGGATAAGGCAAAAATTGACACAATCAAAAAGCTACCGCCTCCTACTTCTGTCAAGGCAGTTCGAAGCTTCTTAGGCCACGCGGGATTCTACAGGAGGTTTATCAAGGATTTCTCCAAGATCACCAAACCTCTTACTAAACGTTTGGAAAAGGAAAATTCCTTTAATTTTGAAGAGGAGTGCTTAATTGCTTTTGAGCTACTAAAAGGAAAACTAACCCAAGCTCCTATTTTGTGTGGTCTGGATTGGAACTATCCATTTGAATTAATGTGCGATGCAAGTGACTATGCTGTGGGAGCTGTACTTGGCCAGAGAAAAGACAAGCATTTCCAGCCTATTTATTATGCCAGCAAGACCCTGACAAGTGCCCAAGAAAATTACACTACAACAGAGAAAGAATTATTGGCTGTGTTGTTTGCGTTTGATAAATTTTGCCAATATCTTTCTAAAGTGATAGTGTATACAGATCACTTTGCATTACGTTATTTGCTAACCAAAAGTGATGCAAAACCTAGACTAATGAGGTGGGTCTTGTTACTGCAAGAATTTGACCTGAAAATCAAGGATAAAAAGGGTTCAGAAAATTTGGCTGTTGATCACTTGTCAAGGTTAGAGAATCCTAGCATGGAGGAATTGGATGAAAAGAGCATTAATGACAAATTTTCAAAAGAACACCTGTACAATGTGGTAACTGCTTCTGATTTTTATTTACCATGGTTTGCAGATTTTGCTAACTATTTGGTTGCTAAAGTTTTACCACAAGAGTTTTCAAGTCAACAAAAGAAGAAATTTTTTTCCGACTTGAAATACTACTTTTGGGAGGACCCATATTTGTTTCGGATTTGTGCAGACCAGGTCATTAAAAGGTGTGTGTCACACTCCGAAGGGTGAAAAATTCTAGGACATTGTCATACTTGGCCCTGTTAGAGGACATCATTCTAGGACTATGACAGCTAAAAAGATGTTAGAATCTAGATTTTATTGGCCCTCTATCTTTAAAGATGCTCACAGGTATGTTGAGTTGTGCGATAATTGTCAGAGGTCAGGTTATATCTCTCAAAGGAATGAAATGCCTCAGAATTACATCCTAACTTGTGAAATTTTTTATGTTTAGGGGATAAATTTTATGGGACCCTTTCCTAATTCAAAAGGGAATAAATACATTTTAGTGGCTATTGATTATTTGTCAAAATGGGTAAAGGCAGAAGCGTTATCTACTAATGATGAGCTGTTTTCATGATTTGGCACACCAAGAGCTTTAATTAGTGATAGGGGTACACATTTCTGCAATACATAACTGGAAAAAGTTTTGAATAAATATGAAGTCACCCATAGAATTGCTACCCCATATCATCCTTAAATGAGTGGTCAAGTTGAGGTAGCTAATAGGGAGTTGAAAAGAGTGTTAGAAAAGACAGTAGAAAAGAATAGGAAAGATTGAGCTGATAAATTAGATGATGCTTTATGGGCTATCAAGACAGCCTTTAAAACTCCCATAGGCACTACACCATATAAACTTGTGTTTGGTAAAGCCTGTCATCTCCCAGTTGAATTAGAACATAAGACATTTTGGGCAATTAAATCCCTAAATATGGATCTTGATCATGCAGGTAACAAGAGGTTGATGCAATTAAATGAATTGGAAGAGTGGCGCATGAAGCTTATGAAAATTCCAGATCTACAAGGAGAAGATGAAAGCCTACCATGATAAGAGAATCAAGGGAGGTAAACTATTCCAAAAAGGTGATTTAGTACTGTTATACAACTCTCACCTCAAATTATTTCCAGGTAAACTCAAATCCCGTTGGTCTGGACCGTTTACTATAAATGAAGTATTTCCTTATGGTACAATTGAATTGACTCATTCAGAAAAAGAAAAATTTAAGGTAAATGAACACAGGCTAAAACTATATCAGGGGGGTCAAATTCAAACTTTTGAGAATGAGGAGTTAAAACTCCTCCATGTCGAATGCTGAATCACATTGAAGTAGTTTAGGTTAGGTAGATTTAGTTTGTTTTAATCTGGTTAATTATTTGTTTAGGTTAGGAAGTTTTAGTTTATTATAATTTAGTTGTTACTGGTTCATTTATTTTTAATTATTCATAATCATAATAAAAATAAAAATTAATTCAAAGAAATAAAAAGAGAGAGAAGGCAGTGAGATACACGACTATGTACATGGCCGTGTACTTTTGTTTTATGGTATTTCTACTAGGCAGAGATGTACACGGCCAGATACACAGCCGTGTACTTTCATTTTGCTTAAACAAGGTCTGGACAGGGATGTACACGCCCAGTCACATGCCCATGTAGTTTGATTTTTTTTAGGTACAAAGATATACATGGTAAGATACACGGTCGTGTATCTAACCATGTACATGCCCAATTTCGTGTTCTGTTTTAAATTCACTTGGGCCACGATTTACACGCCCATATACACAGCCGTGTATCTGGCGCGATGATTTCAAATCAAATCCCCTCCTCTGTTTTTAATCCTGCACTGTGACCTCTGTTTCTATAAACCCTAAAAAGAAAACTCCCTTCCTTTTCCTGGTTCCTCTTCACTCTCCCAACTCCCAAATTTCCATCACCTTCCCACACTTTCCCTTTGTGCTTGTGAGTCTCAAATGCATGTTGTGCTTGTGAGTTCTATTCAAAATCATCCTTCTTGAGAAGGTCAATCAATGGTGCAGTAATATCAGCATAGTGGCACACAAACTTCCTGTAAAAACCTGTAAGGCCTAAGAACCCATGTAGGTGTTTCACAGTTGTTGGGGTAGGCCATGAAACCATTGCTTGAATTTTCTCTAGATCAGGCCCAACTCCTGTGGCTGACACCAAATGACCCAAGTAAGCTATTGAAGATTGGGCAAATGTGTACTTGGAGAGCTTAAAAAAAAATTGATTGCTGCTCAGACATTGAAACGCTAGTTCCAAGTAGTGTATGTGATCTTTAAACTTTAAACGTCTTGCTGTAAATTAAAATGTCGTCAAAGAATACAATGACGAATTGTCATAGATATTGTTGAAAAATAGAATTCATGGTGGCTTGGAAGGTGGATGGAGCATTACACAACTTAAACGGCATGATGAGGAACTCGTAGTAACTATGGTGGGTGCGAAAAGCCATTTTAGAGACATCAGTGGGTGCCATATGAATCTGGTGGTAACCTAATTAGAGGTCTAGCTTGGAGAACCAGTGAGTGCCATAGAGTTCATCAAGGAGCTCAGCAATGGTGGGAATAGAAAATCTGTCTTTTACTGTGAGGGTATTGAGGGTTTAGTAGTCGACACAAAACTGCCATGTGCCATCTTTTTTACGGACCAAGAGAACTCAGGATGAAAAAGCACTGGAGCTGTGTTGGATGATGCCATGGTTAAGCATATCATTGATTTGAGATTCTATTTCTTTTTTTTTTGGAAGTGAGGGTAGTAGTAGGGTCGGACGTTGATTAGGTTAGCCTAGTCTAGGAGGGGGATATGGTGGTCGGTGGCTCTTGGTGGTGGTAGGGTGGTGGATGTGAGGAATATATGTTCATAGGTGTTGAGGAGGGTAGTGAGTTAGGTTGGAAAATCAAATTTTTTGAAGGGGATTAGGTCGGGTTAACAAGGTATAGCTCAAGAAGGGTGTCTAGGGCTTGGGTAGATACCAATCGACGTAATTGGTGTATGGAAGCTTCATCTGGGCCCGGTTTAATGTATTTTAGGGTGAGAGTATCATAGTTTAATAGGACCAGCCTAATGGCTTTTAACCACTAAGCACCCAACACTATTTCGGCACCATTCAGGGGTAAAACATAGAGATCAACTAAAATGTTGTGAGAGCCAAGTTATAGAGATACTTGAGAACATAAGGCGGCGCATGAGATCTCTTCACCATTACCAACAAGTACTTGAAATTCAGAGGAAGTCTATAATGGAAGATTCAATTGTTTTGCGATATGTTCCTAGATGAAATTGTGAGTGCTGCTGTTGTTGACTATTGTAGTGACTCGATGTTTGCCGATGTGACCCGTGATGCGTAGACTCTATGGAACCGTGTGACCCATGAGAGCATGGAAACTGATATGGGCAGCATGAGGAATGGCAAAAATTGATGTTGATGCCTCGGTGGTCGAGTGAAGGAGGCTGGTGCTCAAAAGTTCCTCAACATCGTTGGGTTTTCAGAGTCAGCAATAAGGAGGTGAAACTGTCTCTTGTACTTGTAGCCTGGTGCAAAACGCTCATCATAGTTGTAACACAATCTCTTCTCACAGCGAGACTAAAGCTCAGCAGGGGATAAATGTTTGATGGGGGTTGCAGGTTGTTGGAGAAGGAGGTTAGGGTGGGT